CTTTTGCACGGTCCCCGGGTCCTTCAAAAGCCACCAGAGCAAAGCGTGCTATAAATGGAGACAGAACAAACGCCCGTGTCTATCTACAGTTTGCTCTGATCACCCGCCCCTGAAGAGAAACTTCCAGGTGGCTTGAAACTTTGCCAAGGGATTAAAGGGGCGAGTGTCGGTGTAATAGAAGGTGACACCTGTACCTCTCCCACGATTTTCTGATGTTACCTTTTTATTATTATTATACTTTCCATTATTCTATTGCAAAAAAAAAAAGAATACACAAAGCTTGAAGAGAATAGGAACAAGAGAAGTTCCAGGTCTTTGTGAATTTCCATTCCCAGGCAAGGCAGGCAGGTGGCCCTCTCATTATGTACGATCCCTACCTCTTTAGCTGCGGCGCATGGCGTGCAGAGAGTTCTGGAAAGTTTAGCCTGCACAGAACTGAAGGGCAGTAGCTGACACCAAGGCTGGAACCTGCACTGCTGTCAGAAGCTCCCTTGGCTCCCTCGTGCAGCCGATTGATACCTTGGCCGTTCTGCATGAGCTCCCTAACGGTTTCCCCTTCCTGCAAAACCTAAGCCCACAATTAAACCTGAGAGCAACTTTTGAAAGCTCAGTTTAGAAGGACCCAAGAGCAAAACCTAGAAATGCAACTTTTTTTTGGACTGCAAAAACACAGCCAAAATACAACTGGCACAACGAAGACTGGTCAGTTGGTGAGACAGAGTGTGTTTTTATTTTATTTTGGAAAACTGCAGGCCATTTCTGCAGATGTGCCCCCCCCAAAAAAATCTCATGCCAAATACAGTTTCTTAGTGTTATGGTGCTACAAAACTCTGGGTGGCTGGTGACCCAGGCTGCTTAGCTCACTGTCTGGAGTGCTACAGGGCAGGCTGGAGATGACCATCAGACAGCAACCAGCCCAACCCCAGAGACCTCCTACCTGCACCTCTCTGGCCCCTGTCAGGGGCCTTTTTCCTTTCTGGTGCAGGCAGCGTTGCTCTGGTTTGGATCCGTTCCAGTGCAAACCTTCCTCTTTTAATTTGCCAATATTGTGAAGTGGCTTAATAAACGAACCACTTCAGGATAATGGCAAATTAATTACTTCCCCTGCTCTGCAGAGGGCAGGGAAAGGGGGGGGGGAGAGAAATGTTTTTGACTCTGTTAGACTATCGTTGATGTGCTACATCCATTACAGTTTTGTTTTTTTTAAACCCAGCCTTTTTTTTAACCTCTCCTTAAAGGGTCAGTCGAGAAGTTGCCCACAGTTTGAATCCATGGCAGGGGCTTATGCAGCAGGCAGTTTCTCAACCAGCCCTTTCAGAGAAAAAAAATATTTTTTTTTAAAAAAAGAAATTATAAGTGATGCAGCACAAGACTAGTCATCTACAAATTCCCCCTTCCCTCCCATTTCCCCTGCCCTCTGTTGGGCACGGGAAGGAATTAGTTTGCCAATATCCTGAAGTGATTCATTTCTTAAGCCACTTTACAATACAGTATTGGGAAATTTAAAAAGGAAGGCATGCTTTGGATCGGGTCCAGTGATCGCATGCCCTGGAATGGATCCAAACCAGAGTAAATGGCATGCTGCTGGTGGGGTCCCTTTCTGTGTGGTTGGTCACGCTTGACGAGATTGTTCTGTTCAAGCCTGACCCATTCCCGACCAGTCCGCACTCTGCTGCAACAGAGTGGCGCAGCGTCCACGCTTTTTCCGTCACTGCTCCTTCCTTCCACCTACCTGCCCATCCAGGATCTTGGTCTCCTGGGTGAGAAGAGAGTGGCAGGAAAAGGAAGACCATGGGATGCTGTCTTTTTAGCTGGTGTGCTACATTTTGGACCCAGAATGGGCGACATAATTGCCGATTCCCCACCGCCACCTCCGATGGCCAGCTTGCGTCTACCCATCCATTGGCCACGAGGGCGGAGAAATTGTGGCAACGGCAGCAGAAGCCATAGATTTTTCCAGGCTGTGCTGGTGTCTCTGCTCATGTGCATGACTGCCATTCCCTTTTTCGCTCCGGGATGCTCACAAGTTCTTTCCAAGTCTATGGGTCATTAAATTTAAACAGCTTCCCCAGCCCTCCATGGCTACTCTGGGGCAGCCTGGTCTGGCCTGGTTGGGCTGCGCTCCTTCCTTCCTCTCAGAGTCACGGGGAGGCCCCACGGCCACCTGAGACCTGCCCTTTGGGGAAATCCAAAGCAGAGGAGCGTTCTCTGCCTTGATACAGGATCACATTCCCACTGGATCCCCAGGAGGCCGGTCTTCACGTAGCGTGAGCAATGCTTCCCGATTAGCGGTGGCTGTTTGAAGGGATAATTGTTACATAATTATTCAGCGTGCTCAAAAGTGACTGCACAGCGCTGGTTCCTCCAGGCCTCCCCTCTCTGCTCTCCCTGAAGCAAGTCTGTGTGTGTGCGCACGTGTGCACGCCTGTCTGTGTTGACATTGCACAGGAGATGCTCCAGCTGAGCCAGACAGCATCTCCTTGCTGCAGGCAGAGTGGAGGAAGAGGATGCTGAAGGGGGAGTGCCTGCTCCGTGCAGACCCTCATCCTCCTCTGAGCAGTCCAGGTGCCTGGGACTCTGAAGGTGAGCCCATCACTGCGAGCGTTCAGCTGGGTGTAGAAAACCGAACCCCTGGGAGCAGCCCCCCTCCCCCCGGGACTGGAGAAGAAGGAGAAGCCAAGGAACACGTTGACGGTTCCTCCAGGATTTTGCAGACCTTGTTTCCAGAGTTGAGTTCACGACCGAGGAAGCCTTGATGAGTTTGGGTCCCAGCTGTTTGAAGGACCCTTTCGGAAGGTGGCTGCTGAGGCCGGAGGGTGTCTCAGGCAGCCAGCTTGCAAAAGCTAAGGCCAAGCAGGGACCCCATCTGGACTCTCAGAGCCGGGGGAAGTTCTTTTTTAAAAAAAGATTACAGCTGCCAGAATCCTGCAATCAGCACGGCCGCTAAAGCCATGCCGTTTTGAGGAAGAAAGAAAGAACTAAGGATTCACCGCCTGGGTCAGATTCTGAAGAACCAGAATGGAAGAGCACCAGAGCAGATGGGATCCCTTTCCTGTTAACCGGAAACCCTTCACCTGCCCCTGGCAAAAGGTAGGTCTGGTGCCTCTGATGAAGGGGACTTCAAACCCCTGACCCAAAATATTTTGCCCAATAAAATGTGGTAGCGTTTTAAGATGCAGCAAACCCCTTTGTCAGGCAGCATTCCTGCCCCATGGAAATGGGTTCACCAAGCAGCTGCCACAGATTCAGCCAAACCTGCCGGGAGCCAAACGGGGCGAGCCAAGCCGAGCCGGTCCAGGAGGCAGCTGTGAGTTGGCCGGGATTAGCTAGCATGAGCTAGTTAGCCTAGATTAGCTCTGGTGGGTTAGTTAAATAATCCTGATTAGTCCATCTCGGTGACTGAAAGCCGGATTAACTTCAGAGGGTCAGTTTTCCCCGATTAAGCTTTCTGTAAACACACCAGTTCAGAGGAGATGAGAAGGAGCCCAGGGGTTGCCGAAGGGGGGGGGCTGGCTTCTCATCTGCCAGAGATTCTTCCTTGTGAGCCAGATGTGTCTGCCATGCATATGCATGCATGCCTTCACCCAGCTTGCTGAGAAAGTGAGCCTCTCCTGAACACCTTTCCATCCAGATGTACCACCCTCCTCCCATCTGCTCCTGACAAGGCACAGCCGTTGGATCAAGGTGGCCCCCTGCAAGGGAGCCGGTCCAGAGCGAGGGGCATCCTTCCCTCCAGCCCAAGTCGGGCGCTGCAGACAGCGGCAGTTTCCAGCGGTGTGCAAAGTTCATGTGCCTTTTTTGCAGGGAAGAGTATTCTGCCTGCCTATTGCATCCACATCCGTGTTTCCCCTCTGAGCACATTTTATGAGTGTGCCACCCGGAAGTGGGTCAGAGGAGCCTGGCTTGAACGGAGAGTGAATTAAGTTCACCCCAGTGCCCTGATGGAGTTAACTAGGTGCCCAAGACAAGAAGAAAACACTGGGCAGGAGGTGGGGGCACGTTTAAGGCCAGAGCGGTCTGTGCTCAGCGTCGCTCGGCAGCTGGACCGACCAGCCAAGAGAGACGAGCAGAATTGAGACCATGAAGGCGACAGCAGAGGTGGGGAACTCTTGGCGCTCCAGATGTGCCTTGGGTTTAGAATCACACATCTGACCTTGCCCAATTTCAGAAGCTAAGCAGGATCAGGCTTGGTTCGTCCTTGGATGGGAGTCCTTCTGGAGTCCTGTATCCCAGCAATCTCCAGGTGCGCCTGGGAATGAATCCTGCCTTCGAGTCTCGGAGAGCTATGGCTGCCAGTCAGAGCTGGTAATATGGGCTGAGATGAACCAAGGATCTGGCTCAGAGGAAGGAGGTTTTCTGTGACTTCAGCTCATCGTGCCAGTCAGCATGGCCAAAGCGGCCACACACAATGGCAGCTGTGCCACACCTGGCTTTTTCACAGTGTCCCTTTGGACTGGGGTAGCTGAAGGCCCACAGATTTCCTTTGTGGTTGGCTGTGTTTTTTTTCCGTTTCATTTTGTTCTTCAGGAATTTCTGGGGGTTTCCTCAAGGACCTGGGACACTTTTGGGGGCTTTTCCCACCCAAGAAAACAGCAGTGTTTTTAAACACATAAAACACAGCACTTTGCTACCAACCTCCCACCATCTCGAAGGGGAAGAGGGAAAAGATTATTTGGTTATCAACTGTGGGTCCGCCACAAATTCTGCATCCACAAAAAAGGCAGCCGGCGCAAAACACCTTGTGCAACTTTTTCTGTCCTTGTTCGTCACAGCAGGGGACCACAGATTTGAGAAGGAGGTGGCGAGATGCCATCCTGCAGCTTCAGCCGGGCTTGGGAACATTTTGGGTCAGATTTTGGGAGTTGTCACTGAAGAAGGAAGGTTTCTGAACTCTGGGCTCGGGCCCCGACATCCAGGAACCAAGACAAGGCGGAGGCTGCCGGCCGCCCCCTCCCAACCACAGACAGAGCCATGCTCATCAAGACGCATCAAACATACACTTCTGGAAAGTATGCTCTCTGTATTTTTCTTTTTCAGGACATCTGTGATACAGGGTTTCATCCGGTATAAATAAAGTATAAAATCTTACAATTTGTTTTCCTTTGTCATTATTTTAACAAAAATACTAAAAACGTATTATTAAAACCTGAAATCAAAGTGGGAAGGGAGACTCTACCATTCACACAGGATTCAGAAACACTGGTAAAAAGTGGAGATTAAAAACACTCGCTCGGCAGGAGACACCTCCGCCCGGCCCCAGATGCTGGGGTGTGGCCGCCGCTCCAGCAACCGCTGCTTCTGGCAGAGAGCCGGCAGGAGCTGAGCTGCTGAGGAGGGCAGCCAGGGGGGCTGCACCAGCCGCCACCGCCCCGATCCGCCGTGCAGGTTGTCTTCCTTTGCTGCTTCTCAATACCGCCCAAAGGCAGCGCTGTTCTGTTGGGGCTGCGTATCTGTTCGGAGCAAAGGCAGGAGTCACAATCTTGGTAAACACGTTGCCGACTGGAGACCGAGTTCAGGGGTCTCAAGCCTGGGCCCTGCAGGAGCCCTTCTCGGCATCCAGACTTGGACACCAAACACAGATGGCTTGGGAGAAAGCAGGGGAGGCAGTGAAGCATTCTTTTGTGCAGGGGCGGGGAGAGAAGGGGCCAAAATTCTCTGCTATGACACACAGGGTGCATGCAGGAGGTTCCAGGTGCAACCCCGATAGGGCAAGGAAAATACCGGCCTGGAGTTTCAGACGATTCGGAGGGGGACCTTAGGAGCCCACCCTCGTTTTCCCGTTTGTTTCCTGCTTCCCTACATCTCTTGACCACTGAAATCCTTCAGCTGCAGAGAACCACCCGAGGGCCCTCACAGGCCCCGATCCTCCACCCACGCGGCACCCAGGATGCTGGGAGAGGATGGACTTACTGGAGAGCTGCTGCTGGAGCTGCCGGACCAAGGCGGCCGTCTGCTGCTGCTGCTGCGTCTGCTGGAGGCCCTGGCGCTGGAACTGGGCAAAGAGGAGGAGGAGGAGGAGGAGGAGGCCGGGTTGAAGGCAGGGGCAAGCAGAAGGCAGCCCTCCAGAGGCTGCCATGGCCCTCACGCTTCAGGGCCAGCAAGGTGGGCTTGGCCTCGCAGGAGAGGCAACCCACCAGGATCCCAAGCCCCCTGCTTAGCCCCCTCCGGGGTGCCAGCCCCAACAGGGGAGCGGGAGGGAGGCGAGAACCACTTACCATGGGCTGCTGTGGAGCCAAAGCCTGCATTCCCAGCCCTGGAGGCTGGCCCGGCCCTTGAGGCTGGGGGACGCTGGGCACTGGGGGCTGCTGCAGTGGCTGCTGGGGTGGAGGCTGAGGGGGCTGCTGCTGGGGGGGCTGAGGGGGTGGCTGCTGCTGCTGCTGTTGCTGCTGTTGCTGCTGCTGCTGTTGTTGTTGTTGTTGCTGCTGCTGCTGCTGCAAAGAAGGAAGACCCCATTTGCTCATCATCCTGCTTCTCCACCTTCCCTCCTGCACAGAGGAGGAGGAACCCTCGGCCGCCGACCCCAGCGAGCGGAGGAAGGAAGGAAGGAAAGCTGGAGGGAGTGGAAGCTGCGGCCCAGTGTCCGCCCCTCATACCCTCAGCAACTGCTGCTGCTGCCTCAGGTACTGCTGCTGCTGCTGCTGCTGCTGTTGCTGCTGCTGCTGTTGTTGTTGTTGTTGCTGCTGCTGCTGCCCCCACGAAAGGAGCTGGCCGGGCCGGATCCCCGTGGGGACCCCCTGCGCGCTCATGTGGTTTATCCCGCTCATCATGGGAGCTTGCTGCATTGACTGGTGAGGGAACCTGCGTGCCAGAGGCAGAGAAAGGCCGCCAGTGAGAGGCCCACGGAAGAGCAGAGGTGGGGCACAGCTGCCCAGAGGTGCCGACCCCCTGCTCCTGCCCTGGGCTGCCAGGAGCCCTGCCGGAGCTCTCCCCTTGCCCGCCTTCCCCTCGGGAGCAAGCGCCGTTAGCTCCTCTCCTGGAAAGGGAGCGCCAAGCTTCCCACCTCTGTGCCCGGGGGCGGCCCACTCTTCCTCCCCCACCGCCACCTAGCCCCCTCCCCCACGCAAGGCTACCTCTGTGCTGTGCTCAGGGCATGGGCATAACCGGGGGCCTGCTGGTGCACGTAGCCGCTGGGTCTCTGCATCGGCCGGACGGGGTCGATGAAAGCCGGGCTGGAGGTGGGGTGGGTGGCCTGATAGCTCTGGCCGGCGTAGGTGGGGGGGACCAGGGTGCCAGACTGCGGAGGGTGCTGCTGGAGACCAATGTGGGAGACATACGACGTGTAGCCCTATAAGGAAGCCAATGGGAGGCAGGGTGAAACCTGGAGACTGGACGGTCAGTCAGTGGGACTGGGCACAGGCCTGGGTCAGTCACCGTTTTGCGACCAGGAATTTTGGATAGGATTCTGCACTCGAGATCTGCCAGTGGGTGACCTAGGGGGTGTAACGGAGCAGCACACGCACTGGCGAATCTCAGACGAAGGGGAGGAAAGAGACGCCCTGACTGCTTTGTCTTCAGACCCTCATGGTCGGCTGGGGTTTCCCCATCAAGAGCCTGTGGACATCTTTTGCTGGTTGCTGAGCGTGTCAGGGGGAGAAGTTGTGTCGAGAAGGAAGGAGAAACTCTAGTGACCCCACACTGGAGGAGGCAGGGGGAGGGTGCAGCCTGAAAGGCGTGGGTTTTCCCTTTCTCTGCTAAGGCAAGATGGGGGGGGGGCTGGGAACAGGACACTCCCCCTCCCCAGGCACCATGTCCCACTCCCTCCAGTTTTCTCACATCAGCTTCCCTTGACAAGAAACGACCTCTGACTCTGGGCTGAGAGACCAAGGCCTTCTGAGGAGCATCACTGAGCACTGTTTGGGGGTGGGGGTGGAGGCCATCTCTATGGCCCTGTGCCTCCCAGCAGCTTACCTGCGCTGGCTGGACCGCTCCATAGGGTGGGGCTGGGGCCATCTGGCGCATGGGCGGCTGCCCCAGCATCCCCTGGCCCTGCTGGAAAAAGGGGTCAAGAGGCAGGGCTCACGAGGGTGGCCCCCAAGACCCTCCCTTGAGCATCACACAAAAAGCCCTCAAAGGCACGTACAGGGACGGGCAAGCCCGATGGGTGGGTGGATCTGGCCCACATGCCGTCTCTCTGCTTTGGACTGGCAGGATGGCTCCAGCCAAGGACCCTGGCCACGAGCGCCCTAAGGAGGCATGGGACCAGCTCCGAGGGGACCCTCCTTCCCAGCCCCTTCCCACGTCCTCCACCAAAGGGGGGCTGAATGGACCCCTGGAGGCATCTGGGGCCACATCCTGCTCCCTCGAGCCTCTGAGCCGAGGGGGAAAGAGAAGACCCGGAGGCAAGAGCCTTCTCAGCAGCAGGGAGTCGACTGGAAGCGGCCTCCCTCTGAGCCAGGCTCTCCGTGTCGAACTAACCCAGGACTGCTAGCGCTGACCAGCAGCCACAGTGGCTCACCCGAGCTTCTTCCCGAGCCCTCCCTTGGTGTTGATTGCCAGTCTCCCCCACCCAACATGAACCAGGCTTGACCCTGCTTGGCTGATGAGATGGAGCTGAGGTGCAGGGTGTTTGGGGCGGTAAAGCTGAAACGGAAGTGTGGGACCCCCACCCCACCCCACCCCTCTTACCAGCTTGGCCTGCAGCTGCTGGCGTAGAAGCTGTCCTTGCGGGACGGGGGGCTGCTGCTGCCGGTAGACGGTGGACTTGTAGGACGGGTCAAGCCCCATCATGCCACCCATGCCCGTCGGCAAGACCCCCGTGTAGGCTGGCCGGCTTGGGACCAGCTTGCTCATCGGCATACGTGGGGGCCGGTAAGAGGTGTCCAGTCGAGGGCCGCCTGCAAGGGGGGGGGGAAGAGGGACTAAGCACCTCTCTTTTCTCCTAGTCTCGTTGTTCTGGTATGTCTGTTTTCTTTCATTCCCCCCCCCTCCCCCCGTTCTGTCACCCCTGCGGTGACAGATCCGTCAGAACAGAAACAGGCGTCATAGATGACCAGTCCCTTAGCACTCGAAGCATTTGAGTGCTGCAGACATGGGACACCGGCCAGCTTCTTTCCCTGAAAGATCAAGTCCTGAAGACCCATCACCCAACAAAGCAAAGGGGGGGGGCTTTTCTGCCCTAGAAGCACTGTCACTGCTCTGGGGCCATCCTGAATCCCAGACCACTTGTGGAAAGGGTCAGGAAGACCCCAATTTAGAGAAGGCCCTGTTGTGGGGGAGGGGGAGGGGGGGACGTCCCGTCTCTCGCTCCCCCAAAGCAGAGGGCACCCTGACTCACCTGCAGGCAGAGGCTGGTTCTGGGCATAGAGGCCCACGGGCGACTGCCCATAGGCCAAGCGCGACATGGAGTTGCCCGGCTGGTGGTGGAGGAGGTCGGTGGGCATGCTGCCCCCATAGGAGACCCCGCGGCCCGTGCTCATCATGTAGTCCTGCAGGGAGAGGAACCAAGACAGACGTTGGGGGCAGCCGGAAGAGCCCTGGACCGAGAACGCCCTTGGCCGGGCCAGAAGAGGGCGGAGGAAATGGGGTTTCTCCTCAAGAAGGAAGGGGGGGTGGAGTTCCCCCCTACAACAAAGAGCTACTGGGATGTAGCACAAGGACTCCCCACAAGTCAAAACACACACACACACACACACTCGTCAAAGCTAGAAAAAGGACCTTTTTTGGACGACCACTTCCAGAGTCCTGAGCCAGCACAGTCTGTGAACTAGAGCAGTGGTTTCCAACCTTGGGTCCCCAGATGGTCTTGAACTACAATTCCCAGAAATCCTGGGCAGCGCAGCAAGTGGTAAAGACTTCTGGGAGTTTTAGTTCAAGAACATCTGGTGACTCAAGGCTGGGACCCATGCACTATTCCGGGATGCAGCCGAAAAAAACCTGACTTCTCCAAAAAACCAACCAACCAAACAAACCCGCCGGTCCGGATACGGCTGAGGAGTCTCTTCCCCCCCCCCCCGGCGCCGCCCCCCCCCCGCCCCGCCCCCCCCGCGGAGTCCCCCCCCCCCCCCTGCGGGCCCACCCAAAGGGGCCCCCCCCAGCCGAGCGCCAGCCCCTCCGGACGCACCTCGGTCTTGTTGGCGGGCTGCGTCCGCTTCTTGTTCTTGCTGGCCTTCTTCTTGGGCTCGGCCGCCGCGCTGGCGGGGTTGCCGCTGGCCTTCTCCACCTTGGCCGGCTCGGCCGACTTCTTCTCCGGCTCCAGGGCGACGGGGGTGGGGGGCTCTTCCTCCTCGGGGGGCAAGGGGAGCGGCTCCAGGTAGTAGTTGTGGGGCTTGGGCTTCAGGTGCGTGTGGTAGAGCAGCAGCCTCTGCTGCTCCTCGAAGCGGGACACTTTGCGGTCCACCCGGACCGTCCCGAACCAGCCCCAGGAGAGCGGGGCCGAGTGCTTCAGGCCTTCAAAGAGGTCCCAGGGGGAAATCTTCTGCTTGGTGGAGACCTGCAGGCCCTGCGAGGGAAAGGGGGCAAAGGGAGAAGGTCGGAAAGCCAGCCCGAAGCACACCCGGGACAACACAACAACCCCCGCCCCCAAAGAGGGATGGAAAACCACCATCAGGGTTGGAGCCATTGTGTGTGTGTGTGTGTGTGTTGTGTGTCAGAGACAGGTTGCTCCCCTGGCCCTGGCCCTCCTCCTGCGCCTTGAGCAGAATCAGGCGCAGGCAGGGAGGGGGCTTCCGGCCCGGCCATCCGCACTTGCCTCCTTCTTGAAAATGGAGTCAAACCCGGCGATCTTGTTCCCTTTCGTGTCAATGAGGGAGCCCTGAGGCTCGCAGGTGATCACGTCCCGGGTCTGCTTGGCCAGGGGAAGCAGCTGCCGCACCTTCTCCAGACTCTCCGACTGCCGGTCCCCCAACTCTTTCTGTGGGAGGAAGAAAGCCACCGAGCAATGTTTGGGCAGAAGCCCCTTGACGTGTGCCATGTGCTGCCAGAGCCCTGCACACCTCGGCCATCTGCCCCAAATCTTAACAAGGGGGCAGGGGCTGGGGCTGACCCCCCTTCGGCGGGGGGGGGGCTGCCTGTCCAGGGTGTTCTTGCAATCCTAAATAAACCCCATCAAACACGCAGAATTATCCAGGTAACTGGTTAGCATCAAGAAAACCTGGGGGGGGGGGGGATGGTTGGGGTGGTGAGAAGCACCCAAGTCCAGCAGAATCCCTTCCAAGTTTTGTGGGGGAAAAAAAAGATCTGCAGGGGATTTGAAGCATCTTGCTTTCTCTTCTCAAGGGAGTCCGATTCTCCCCTGGAACGTAATCAAACCCAGATCGATGTTTAAAAACAGGAAGGGTTCCCAACAAGACCCAAGAAGCAACTTTCTGGGGCTGGGGCTGCCTGCAGGGGATTCCGAGTGTTGGAAAGGGACCCCCCACCCCACCCCAAAGTGACCCAACCCAGAGGTTAAACAGATCAGAGGCACAGCAGCCCCCCCCCAATCCTCCCCCGAGAGGGAGAGGCCACTCACGCGCAGCTTCTTGACCAGGTTCATGTAGGCCCGCTTGTTCTCCTCCATGCTGCCTTGGGAGATGCTGGACATGTCTGCAGCCAAGGTGCCATTGATAAGCACACTGAGCATGTCCAGGACGGTGGTGAAGAGCTCGCTGGGAGGTCAGAGGGGGGGGAAGGGGGGGAAGAGGGCAAGGGAGATACCGTGTGATACTAGGCAGGATCCAGAAGCCAGGAGTCCCCAGTCCCCACCCGCATTTCTGAACAGTGCAACATTCCTGCAGCCCGAGTGGGATCCTGATGCAAGGTACGGGTACATCCAAAGAGTGGACCTGACACAGAGCCGGGCCGCTCCACTGTGCCTTTGACACAGTCCAGATCGACCCACCTCCACCCCCTGCACTAGGCCAGTTCTCAGCACCTCTCTCGTAGCACAGCGGGGCCCAAGGGAAACCACCCACGGCCAGACGGACGCCTGTGGAGCAGCCCACCCGGGCAGCGGCTGCTTTCAGCCCAGCCGACTTTCTCTTGGCTGCCAAGGGGCCCAGACAACCACGAGGGCAGGTGGAGAGATCGCGCCACCCCCTTTGGGAAACTCACTTGTTGGACTGCATGTCCACAGTGCCACTGCTGATGATGTCCAGGAGAAGCACGGCCCATTCCGTCGTCTGCTGGGTGCTGCGTTGCACCGTGTCAAACATGCCGCCCACCTGGCAGGAAGGAAACAAGGAAACTGTCAGGGCCCAGGGTGGTATAAGCTGGGGGGGGCGGGGGAGAGAGTGTGTGGCTCTGTGGGAAGGCACACCTCCCTATTCCTTCTCCACTGCCAGAAGAAGAAGAAGAAGAAGGGGAGCAAGGCCCTCCATCAGGGCGCTGGCATTCGAGCCTCTGGGATTTTGGGAAGCGGATCCCCCTTCACAAACCTGCCCACCAACCCTCGCTCACCAGATTCAGCCGCAACTTCAGCGCCTCGTGCATCAACTGCTTGGCTTTGCAGTCATCCTGGTATTGATCCTCTCGCCAGTTCGTCACGATCTGAGTCGACAGAGAAGAGGAGACGGCTGACACTCCGCTGCCGCCACCCCCGAGCAAGCCACCCTGAGCGGCGAGGAATGCCTGGGAGGCAGCTGAGTCCCCGGTCCTTTATCCTATCCTAGCCGTTCCTCTTCTTTTTCTGAGGCAACACTGGCTTATCTCGTTATCCTCCACATTCCCACCCACCGCTTTTGAATTTCAGTTTTTTTAGAAAACTGGAGAGACCGTTCTGGAGAAAGCAAAGACTTGCCACCATTTATGTGACGTTTTTAGGGCCCAATAAACTCAAGACCTCCCCCCCAGATGACTGATCTTCCCTGGGAAATCAGGGGGTCGTTGGAAGGTCCTCGGGGGGCTCCCAGGGAAACCCACCTGCTGGACTTGGCTGTACAAGGAGGTGAGAAGCCCCTCGCGCTGCTCGTCTTGGCCTTTCAGACACGTCAACACCAGCGACAGGAAAGGCTGCTGGCTCAGGAGGGACATGCTGAGAGAGGAAGGACATGCGTGAGGGAAAAGGACTGGCGGGTGTGTGTGTGCCGGGCACTCCCAAGAGAGAACTCCCTCGCCCTGCCGACCCTGTGAGGCAGGATGGCTGCTGGAGGGGTCCTGCCTTTTCCCCCGTAATCACCATTAAACCGGATGAAAACACATCTGTTTTCATGCTGCACAAAAAATTACACCCGGAGGGAACATGGGACGCCAACAATCTCTACACAAATGACCTCCGACACAGCATTTTTATCTATCTATCTATCTATCTATCTATCTATCTATCTATCTATCTATCTATCTATCTATCTATCTATCTATCTGTCTGTCTGTCTGTCTGTCTGTCTGTCTGTCTGTCTGTCTGTCTGTCTGACTGTCTGTCTGTCTGTCTGTCTGTCTGTCTGTCTGTCTGTCTGTCTGTCTGTCTGTCTGTCTTATATCCCGCCCATCTGGTATATTCTACCACTCTGGGCGGCTTGTTTCAAAATTGCAATAAAAAAAGCCAGTAAAACATGTCCAAAACGGCAGAGTCCAATGACAGAATCGGCCTCCACCACGGTGTTAGGCTGCAGTGCCAACGGCCTTAACGGCAGACTGTCTTCCTCGGGTGGGATCTCAAAAATTCCTATTTCAGCAGCCTGTCTCGCTCCGCTGGCCTGACCCATCCTCATTTCCCTCCCTTTCCAAAAAACGGCAAGGCGGTTGGGACTTTCTCTTCCCCCCCCACCCCCTGGGCCCACCCCCGCTCCCTCACCTCTTCTGCTTCTGGCGGTCTCGCTCTTTGCGGGAGGAGGAGCCCAAGTGCTGGCCCTTCTCCAGCTCGTCCCCGGCCGCCTTCAACACGTGGCCCTGCACGGACGTGGGGAGCTTGGCGATCAGAGGAGCCACCAGCCACACGCCAGACCTCTCCAGGGAGCTGAAGCAAGCAGGAAAGCAGGAGAGAGCTGGGTCAAGTCGCTCCTTGGCCCTAATGAGCCACCAACCCCAACCCTGCCCCTTCCCACCGCCCTGAGCGCTATCGAATTCGAGAAGGAAAAGCAGGGCTGGGACGGGACAAGGAGGAAACACCGAGAACCTCTAAGCAGGGCCGGGAAAGAACCCTGCCTGAAACGCCAGGGCGCCAGGGCCGCTGCCAGTCAGAACTGCCATTATGGGGCTAGAGGGGAACTGGCGACGGGACCCGGGGACTGGCGGGGTCCTGCAGGCTGACCTCAGAATGGGCTTGGCTTTGGTGCTGGCCGGCCCGAGGCTGGTGGAGCTGCCCAGGCTGCCGATGCCGTTGCTGGCGGAGTTGGTCTCGGCCGACTGCTGGAAAACGTCGATGGTGGCCTTGGCAATGTTCTCCAGCAGGGAATTCATTTCTTGCTGCACAGGGGAGGGGAGGTGCGAGACCTGGTTAACGATGACATTTGTTTTATTTGCGCCCTGCTTCTTGCCCCATAACAGGCTGCTTACAAAAGGGACAAAACGTAAGTGTGTCTAAAAACACAGCGCTGTCACACCTTCTCTTTGCTCGTGTCAGAAGCACCAATGAACAATGAATATACATATATATCTCAGATCATTCTCAACCAATAGCGGGCATCATCCAGAACATCCGTTCCACCTCTTGCCTCCACTCCTGGTTCAGCCGGCACTCACTGCTCAGAGATGGGAAGGCTGGGCCCCTGGCTGCACCCTCTCCCTCGCCGGGGCCACCCCAGGGCGGCACCACCGCTCACTTACATTGTTGGCCGTCTGCTTGATCATGAGCTGCAGCTCCAGCAGCGACTGGCGCATGGTCCACTGGTCCAGATTCTGCAAACAGAGGCAACACGCTGCGGTCACTGCGCTTACTCAAACTCAGTGGCATGGATCTAACTGCTAGTCCCCAGCTAAGCGGAACCCCACTGAATCAATGGGACTGATGTGTTTCCTCACTCTTCACTAGCCAACTTCAATGGGTCTTTTCTAAGAGGAACAGCAACCGGAAGGAAGCCACAGCCTTAAAGGACCAGAGACATGAGCCACAGGCAAGGCCGAGAGAGAGAGAGAGACTCAAAACACAGGATTCAGCCTGCGCTCAGTGCCCGTCCGCATGCATCCACCCCTTCCGTCCCTTGGAACAAGTGCTGCCCCCCCCCCCATCGCGTTCAGCGCCCGTCCGCACACATCCACTTCTTCCGTCCCTTGGAACAAGCGCTCCCCCCCCCAGGAAACGCCGCTCCTCCCACCGCTGCCGCCGGCTCCCCAGACCTGCAAAATGCGCTTGATCCTTTGCCGCTGGGGGTTCTCGCCCTCCTCGCTGTCAAGCAGCCGGTGGGGGTAGCAGATGAGCTGCATCAGCCTCTGGGCCTGGGTGCTGCTCAGGACCGGATCCTGGAGGTCGTTGCTGTCTTCGCACAAGGACTTCAGGCACCGCTCGCCCACCCACTCCTGCGGGCAGAAGCAGAGCGCCAAAGGGCGGGCTGAGCGCAGCTGGCAGCTGAGGACCCACACTGCACCATCCGCCTGCCTGCTTCTGCCTCTTCGGCTCCGGCCGGACGCGCCGAAGGGCAGACAAGATGTGGGCCCCGACCGCAGCGGGTGGCCTGCAGGGCTGGTTTCCCCTGAAAAGCCGGACTCTCAGGACGTGGGCCCACATCTTGTTGAGGCTCCCGGAGACCCCAAGAGCCGTAAGAGAGCCAAGCGAGGAGTCTGCCCTGCTCAGTCACAGGGCAGAACGAGCCAAAATCTTCTCTCCAGGGATGGGGGGGGGCACTATTTCAAAGCTTGAGAAAGTTACTTTTTTGGCTTAGAGAAGTGGCAACTAACAACCTTGGGGCCGTTAAGGGGAGCAGCCTCCCGCTCTGGCTCCAGAGAGATCGGTAGGGGATGCACGGGGGGCAGAGAGAGAGAGAGAGAGAGGAAGGAAGTGGGCGAGGAGGGATCTGCTTGGGGCCCACAGTCAACCGGTGGCTTGACAAGAACAGCCAGCCTTTCCCTGGGGGAGGGCCACAGACGCCTGGAGGCTCTGGCCCCACGCCCACCCCCCCGACCAAGCCAGGGCCCCCGACAGAGCTCTTCCACTCTCATGGATCCCCAAAGGGACGGGCGGAGGAGCAACACCAGCCACCCCCACCCCCACTCACCTGCTGGCAGATGCTTCGGAGGACATACTTGGCATAAACGTCGAGGCTGGCCGTCTCAATGGAGACCATCCTGCTGGCAGGCTTCTTGTCATCTTCCATGAGGTCGTCCACGCCTCCCGAGTGGGAAAATCCGGAGCCCTTCAGCTCAGCATCTCCTGGAACCGGAAGCGGAGGTCAGCCGGGAAGCCAGACCCCAAAGCCACCCCTGGCAGCCCTAACCCAGACAAGGAGCCGGCCCCTCCTTCGGCCACCAAGAGGTGGACCGCAAGCCTTGGCTTCCCCGAGCACGACGCACCCAAGACAAAAACGGCTTTCAGCACGGCAAAGACGGCGCCATCCACGATCCGGTTCTGGGAAGCAGCCAGTAAGTGCCGGTCGCAGGAGGAGCGGATGCCGACCGTCGGCTTGCCTGTAGGGGGAAGAGCACAAGGAAGGGGGGAGGACAGAAGCTCTCGGCTGTCGACTGGGAAGGAGGGTCCATGGACCAAGGAAGTGATGAGACCACTCCAGAGCCAGCACTCCAGGAAGAGCTGGTAGGCCAGGCGCGGTCCCCCCCATAGGCTGGCTGGAACCCCCACAGGACACGCATGAGAAGCGCCTGCCTGGGGGACCAGACCCAGGTGGGTCTCCGCACAGTCCAGACCCCAGTCCCATCACATTTCCACAATGGCTGGACACAGGGATGCCTCTGGGATCCTCAAAACAACATCACCAGGTGGTGTCAAGTCGGTTCTGACTCATGGCGACTCTTTGGCAGGGTTTCCCAGGTAGAGAGAACTCACCGAGGTGGTTGACCCTTCCCTTCTCCTGGCGGGTGCCCTGGGAACACTGTGCAGCTGGCCCAAGGCCACCCAGGCTGGCTCTGCTCACAGGAGGCCCAGTGGGGGAATCAAACTCCCAACCTCTGGCTCTGCAACCAGAGACCTTGACCCCAGATGCCCCAGCAAGAAGTGGGCAGGGGAAGACGGCTTGGAGGGAGGGGGGGGGAAAGACCTGGAGCAGCTGGAGCCAGGAAGGGGGCAGGTTGGAGGAGAACCTGTACACTCAGCCGCTTCAGGAGCACCCTCCCCCCCTCCCCTGCCATGGGGGAAGAGAGGCAGGCCAGCACCAACAGGCTGCCCATCAACCGAGGGGCAAAAGAGAGGGCAGCCCATTCCAGAAGCAGAAGAAGAGAGCAAAGCCCAAGGGGTCTGACCCGGGGCTTGGAGGGGGGGCTCACTTACTGCTGTCCTGCTGGCAAGGGTTCAGCTGCGGGGTCTTAAAAAGGTGCAGCAAAATCCGGCACGTCAGGCGGGCTCCGGGCTCCGAGTCCTGCTCGCTGCAGGCTGTGGGCAGAAAAGGCAACACCTGCCATGGCACTGGATCCAACACGCTCTCAGCCTCCAAGCCGGGCCAAGGCCCAGAGACCCGGGGGGGGGGGAGGGGGGCCTTCCTAAGTAGCTGCACAGCTTCCCTGCCAGCCCCCACCCGTCCGCGCGACAGGCAGGCAGGAAGGTACTCACCAGCGTTAAGGAGCGAGGGAATGGCAGCGCAGCGGATCAAGTCCTCGAGGAGGAGACACTGGCGGGCAATGAGGATGGCCACAAAGGTGGCCAGGGAGTCGTGGAAAGACAAGTCGCTCACCTGCAGGAGAAGAGATGGGCCCCCCGCCCGCCCCTGTGTCAAAAGAGTAATTACTCCGGGAGTGGAACCTGGCCATCAAGGCCTTCCACCCACAGAACCCTTTCAGGCAAGGCAAGCGTCACCTTTGGGATCAAGAACGAACATCCAAAGGGACGCGAGAAGCAGGGACCACAGACAAAGCTGCTCTGCCTCCCCCCAGGTTTGCTCCTGGCCATTCGTGGCATTGGTGGGGGGGAGGAAATGGGTCCCCCCCCTTGCAATGTCTTTCAGAGGCATTTCCCAACCCCATCTGAAATAATAACCATCTGTAGCCATCACTCGGATGTCCCCTTTTCCAGAATGCCTCTGACAACCCTTTCACAATCATCTTCCCAGGGGTTCCTTTCAGGACCTAGAGGATAACTACCATGTTGAGGGGGGGAAACCCGCCTCGGCCTGGGATCTGCCAGACGGAGACAAGACTTCATCCCTATCCCTAGGAAAGTGTGGAGGCGGCAGGAACGTAGGCTGTGGTCCTGCTCCGTAAGCCTCCTTCAGAGAAAGCTCAAGAGGCGGCATGCGCCTCCCCTTCTCTCTCTCTCCCCCCCCCTCCAGCCTCCCTCCAGGGTGGTGCTCTGGTCACCACTTAACTCTTGGCATCTCCCTTCGGGCAGAGCCTCCCATTCGATCTGGAGATTCTCTTTTCTGTCCTTGGAGGCTGAGATAGGCTCTATTGCAGGTCGGGGCAGCCATATCCTCTGCCCGGCGGCTTTGCCGAATGCAGGCTTAAGAGCAGGACTCCCTCCGTGGCTTTTTGACTAGAAGGGGACAGGCAGCATCCCCAGGATACGGCCATGGGAGGAAGTGAACCGTCCCCGGCGGAACCAGGCCCTGCGGCCATTGGGCCCCCCCCTCCTGGGCCCTTCCCCACCCAGCCCTGCCCCACTCAGGCCCCGCCGGCCCCTTACGTCCACGTTGCAGAGGAGGTCGTTGAAGCCACACGTCCCGTTGTTGGAGGAGCAGCAGAGGGCCTTCAGGACGCCCAGCCACTCGGCGCTCAGCAGCTTGCAGTAGCCCGTCAGCTCCGCGCACAGGATGGCGATGTCGTTCACCCTGGGCAGGGGGAAGAGAGCAGGGCTGAGCCCCTGGATGGGAGGCCTCTGGCAGGTGGCTGGAGGAAGGAGGGTTGTCAGGGGAGGGCAAGGCAGCCCCCAAAGTCCTCCAGCTAGCATTTGGGGGGGGGCGTGGATTCTGGGAGCTGCCGTTTCTCCAAGCGCGGGAGAAAGAAGGAGCGGCCTTCTTTGGGGTTTCCTGAGAAGGTGCTGCAGCAGTCACTGGGGCCGGCTGGGGATAATAGGAACTGTAGTCCCAACATACCTGGGGGTGCTGGGTTGGGGAAACGCAGGATTAGATCAACCCACTTTGGTCTGACCCTTGCTGGCCACCGCTGTCTGCCAGCCCCTCACACCACCATCCCTCCCTGGCCAGGCCGGCCCTCACCGGTCAGGGTCGTGGTGCCCCACGCAGACGTGCATGAGGGCGTTGCACACAAAGCTGTAGCGATTGGCCGGGTTGTCCGTGAGGCTCTTGCCCAGGTTGGTGTAGGTGAAGCTGTGGGCCGATGGGTTCTCAATGGTGTCGATCATGAACAAGGGCTCCCACAGCATGTTGGAGTCAGACGGTTCCACGTTGCAGTAGATGGTGTTCTTCACCTTGGAGCAGAAGTCGCTGGTGGGAAAAGGGAGGCCGGAGGAATAGAAGTGAAAAAATATATATACAAAAGAATCATTTAATTCCACAGTTTCAACAGATGTAACCTGTTCCCACTTCCCAGGGAGTGCAACCCCTCAGCCAGAATGGCCCTCACCTGAAGAGCTCCCCAAATTTACTCTTGAGGTGGCTGCAAGACATGTACAGGTCATAGAGGTAGGCCAAGATGCAGCGCTCGGCTGAAGAGCCATCGGAGCGATTCATGCCGTGCTTCACCACCCCGCACAGCCTGGAAGGGCGGGGGAGAGGAAGAAAAAAACAACATAAGGGGGGGGAAGAGAAGCAGGTGGATCCTGGCTCCCCCCTTTGGTTTAGCGGAGGGGGGGGAATGGCCAGCCCCAAAGCCTGCACAACAAACCGTCAAACAGACCATGGCTTAGAAAAGTTACTTTGATGGACCGTCACTCCCAGGACGCCAGTAGCCGACACAGCCAATTCAAAGCAGTACCTTTCTGCAAACTCTGGGACAGAGCCTTCTGCAAGGGATGGGCATCTCCTCCCC